TATCACTACACAATTGATTATACACCTCTAAGCATCTATGGTTAAATATTTCTAAGCATAAATGACAATCAACAATACAAATAACTACATGCAGTATTCTACCATATGCAAACTTATATCACTAAAAGATTATACTGACTACTAAATACAATTTTCCATTAACACATAGTGTCATGAAAGCTTTGTGTCCCTGATCACTGATGTTAGAGTAAGTGGATCCAGATAATGAAAAGATATCCAGGGTATGCAGAACTCATAATATTTATAGAATTTCATAATAAAGGGCCAAGGTTTTGGTTAGCTGGCTTAGAGACCTGCAGCCAGCAGGTGTAGGTTCAAATGTCTCTGTCTTAAGTGTCTGATTTAATTAAATTTTTATTTGAGTGTCTAACTACAAAAGTGTTCTTTTTGCTCTCTGCAGATAAATGTGGGCTCTGAGACAAGCATCAACAAACAGTTAATTTGTTTTTCTGTTTGCGTGTTTTTTCCCAGTTTTTCAGCATGCCCTGGCTGTCGTAGTGGAGGTGTATGAAGAGGAAAACTCTGTAATGTTGCCTTGTCAGTTCTCCAGTTATATACCTATACACCCAACAGTGATGTGGAATCGCAATGACATTGATCCCAAATCTGTCCATGTGCAACGAGAACGAGGAGATGATCTTAGAGGACAAAACCAGCATTACAGAGGACGCACATCAATGAAGCCTGATGCTATGGACACTTCTGATTTCAGCCTCACTCTGAGAAAACCAACAAAAGCTGACAGTGGCAACTACACCTGCTCCATCACAGATGGGAGCGAAGAAACAAGACTGGGAGATATACAACTGCAGGTCAAAGGTCAGCAACAGACCACAACATCTGCTGTAATTTCAGATTACATTCAGTTCTGTAGATAAAAGTCAGATTCAACATTTGCTAAAGTGTTCTGAAACACCTGAAGAAATCAAAAACAACATTTCCCACAGATCTAACCTTAGAGGAATTAGCAGCAAAGCTGAATAGAAGAGAACCTTACTGCTACAGCATTTGGAGTGTTTATTAAACATGGAGGGTAGATTGAGAACATTTAGAATGTTTTATTTACTCTAAAACACGGAGCTACCTGGACTAATTGGACTGATAAAATGCAAGTCCTGTAGGTTTTTAACTTGTCAGCAGAAATGGATCATCACTTTTCATCCATTTAGATATGATGTGACTGAGACTTTTAGGTTGGAACCACTGTCTTAGGATATGTCCATTAGGGTTGGGCGACTGGACGAATATATCGACTTTCGATAGTTTTTACAAGGGCTATTTATTTATTTACCCGTGAGTAAGTTTGCTAATAACGATGGAGCTAATAGAAGCAGTCAACAGAAAAAAAATAATAGCGCTGTTTTAACAGCACCCTCGTTCATCTGCGAGCAGATGCACCTCTTCACCTCCTCAGAGTGCCCCCAAGTGCTTGTCGATGGAGCTGCAGAATCTGGTGATAGCTTAGCATACTCAGCCAGATGGTGGACACGTACATGCTCGTGCAAGTTAGTTGTGTTTGAGTGCTTTGCTCGCACTATATTTCTGCACAAGTGGCACACCGCTTTGATTACATCCTTAGGTTTAAAGCCAAAGAAATCCCAAATTGGCAGCTTTATATTTTTTTTCGTGCTGTCAGCGTTAATGCGCCGTCATCACGACTAACGCGATTAACAATTAATCCATCTGGAGCGCGTACTGAGTCAAAACCCCTGAAATGTCTCTGTCAATGCATTTCGGCAGTTTGTCCATTCTGTGCTCCAGATAGTTTGAGAGTGTTAAAAATGTTCATTGTGATAACCACGTTAACGGGGGGGATTAGTTTGTCCATGTTTGAACTTCTTCTGTGTTGTAAACGCACAAATCAGTCCGCGCATGCTTATATTGCCCCGCCTGTTTTTCCAAAGATTGAATTTGCAGAGGTTCTCCACTCAGGAGCCTCAGCAAACACACCCCTGATTTCGCAGTAGTTTGTAACTTTAGCAGCATTTTATCACTTTCAGTTTCCATTCAAACAAAAATGATCCAGAGACTATTATTGTCTATGATTACTGGTAACAGGTGAGTCAGAGGTCAGAAATGTAGATACTCAGCTCTGCTTCAGTTACCATCAGTATGACTACAACTACATCTACTGCTGATACTTTGGTTTATTGTCCTCTCAGATAAGCAGGTGGAGGTGAGTGTGGGTGAAAGGTCAGAGTCTGTCATCCTGCCCTGCAAAACAAAACCTGACCTGCCTGAGGACGCCACAGTGGAGTGGACTCGCTCTGACCGAGAACTGAAGATTGTCCGTGTCCATGCAAACGGAAGGGACCGCCAAAATAACCAAAATGACCTTTACTGTGGCCGTGCAAAGATGAATGAAGATCTGCTGAGAACTGGAGACCTCAGTCTGACCCTGAAATACCCCACAGAGAGAGACAGTGGAGGATACATCTGCACCATCTACAGGGACAAAGACATCCTGAGACAGAAAGTCGTGCTGCAGGTCAAAGGTCAGTGCTGTAGGTCATAATAGACCTCTGGTACAGAGGAGAGATTTCCACCTCCTAAAAGACAGTTGTCTTGAGGTACTGTAGCTGTTGTTATTTGGCACTATATAAATAAAATGTAATTAAATTGAATTAGAAAACCCTGATGGGCGGTAACATAAATAAAATCTCAGATTTCCTGCTAGGTCTCTGTGATGTTGATGATGATGCTGGATTACAGAAAAACCTTTGGGATTTCAATGATCATTGAATGTTGTGTCAGTGATTAAGGTCCTTGTATTTGAAAAAAAAAACTTAGAAAAGCTGTCTTCAAACATCAGCAGTGTGTGTATGTGTGTCTTCACAGTTTCCCAATACACCTCAATTATCAAGCTGCATGTAGGGCACCCACTTGTTATGCTGCCCTGTGAGTTTCACACTTTTGAACTGAGGGACGCTATAGTGGTGTGGAGTCGCTCTGACCTCAGTCCTCCAACCGTCCACCAACGTCAGCTTCAAGGAGACGAACTGAAAAATCAAAACCAGCGTTACAGCGGCCGAACATCCATGAAGACTGACGCTCTGGAAACTGGAGACCTCAGCCTGAACCTGACCAACCTCCAACTGTCTGACAGCGCCACCTACACCTGCTCTGTCAGAGCATTTGGGCTAGGACACCACACACTGAGAGAGGTGCAAATGCAGGTCACAGGTCAGCAACAAACAGCTGCTGTAGATACATCTCACCTCATTAATATAAAATATTATATTAACAATGTTAGAATAACCATACTGGCTCTTTGAACAAGTTATAGGGCTGTTCATTAATTTTAGTTTGTTTGCTGTTTTTTGTGTTCCTCCACAGAACCGTTTCCATCCTGGGCCAAAGCTCTCCTGGTTCTCCTGGTTCTTCTTGTGGTTTCTGGAGGTCTTTTATTTCATTTCCGGCACTATTTCATGTCAGGTGAGTGTCTCAGAAAACCTTCAAACTCATTGATCAGTCACCATGTTTCTGAAGTTTTTGGCACTAAGTACAATGAACTCACTTTATCTGAATTTAGGAGAAGAAAATTGTCGAACATCCAAGCCTTCGTGTCTTTAACACATTCCTGTAGTTTAAATCATTGCTTTGTGTCATCTGGCATCATAGACAAATAAAAAGGGGTATCATCTGCATAGAAATGAAAAGTGTGTACAGTGTTTTCTAATATTATTACTAGGGGTGCAACAATACTCGTATCGATATTGAACCGTTCGATACAGTGCTTTCGGTTCGGTACGCATATGTATCGAACAATACAAAATCTTTTATTCTTCTGACGATGCTGTCTGTGTTGAGCGCTCAGTGGATCAACAAGCACGCATGCTACAAACTTTGCCCGAGTCATTTAGACAGCTGTTAGCACAGGATTCTCCTTATGGGGACCTGATATGTTTAATATGCTGCTGAGAGTATACCCCAGAAGAAGCGTATAGTATAGCTTTTATTTTGGAAAGAGCCATTTCTCTGTAATAAACTCTTTTCCAAAGATGAGGGATTTCTCGATCAGAGATTTATTTTTTTATTGCTAAATTTAAAAACTGTACTTTTGAGTTGACAAATGACAAATTAAAAAAGCATGAACATTTATTGTATCGAAAAAATATCGAACCGTGACACCAAAGTATTGAACCGAACCGAACTGTGAATTTTGTGTATCGTTGCACCCCTAATTATTACCTAAGAGAAGCATGTATAATGTAAATAGAATTGATCCCAACACAAAACCCTGTGGAGCTCCATAACTAATTCTTGTTTGTGAATTCTTGTTTCCGTTACATGGAAACTGGAATCTATCAGATAGATATGCGTCAAACCATTGCACATTGTCCTCTGGTGCGTTCTGGCAATATCTATAGTAAATTAGTGGTCTGTCAAAACAAACCACACTGCCTCATTTCTTCCTCTCTTTCTTTCCCTCCAATGTCCTGTCAGTCTTCAGTACATCTTATAAAGCCTGAAAAAGGCCAAAAAATATTTTTTTAAAAGTCTACTGTCCGGAAAGACTATTAGTAACTTCACTACAGCTCATGTTGTGCTTTGTTGTCCTCTCAGTCCCCCAGGTGGAGGTGGATTCAGGGGTGGAGTCTGTCCAGCTGCCCTGCAAAACCATAGTTTGCCTGCCTAAAGACGCTAAAGTGGAGTGGAAGGACAAAGACAACAGGAAGGTCCACGTGTATGAGAACGGCTCTAACCAGCCTGAAGAACAGGACGATAAATACAAGAACCGAACAAAGATGAAGAGAAACCTACTGGAACCTGGAGACCTCAGTCTGACCCTGAAATACCCCACAGATAGAGACAACTCCACCTACACCTGCACCGTCTACAGCAGGGAGGGAAACATCCTGATGGAGAAACAAGTGGAGCTGAAAGTCAGAGGTCAGTGCTGTAAATACAGGTCAAAGGTCAGAAGTCAGATCCATTTCATGCACTTTATTCCACTTATTCAGTCTGATGTTCTCTGATCTGTTTCTCTTGTTTAGTGTCTTAAATGCTGCCAGTGCCTCTCTTTGGTTTAACCAACCTTTCTCTTTATTTCTGAGCTTTTTAAGGACTTTAACTGATGCATCAACCTTTATAAACCCCACAGTGTGTCAGACTGTCAGTCTTTGCATAAGTTGTTATTGGTTGTTAGTGAGACAGTGTATTAAATTGCTTTCTAACTACTGCAATTTTTTGGCCTTTCTGGTGGCTCTATAATGTGCTTATAATATCCTTGTAAGCTCGGGATGATCCTAACTCCAGCTCAGATCCATTTCACGCAAAAAACGAATTCCAGCATTTTTTCAACAACTCAAATCACATAGCAAGGCATGAGTTTGTTTCAGAGAAACAGAACCTCATTTATCTTTGGTCACATGATATTCTAAAGAACGATATAGGTCTAAACACGGGCTTCCAAATGTCTCCATCCAAGCTCATGTTGTGTTTTGTCCTCTCAGTCCCCCAGGTGGAGGTGGATTCAGAGGTAGAGTCTGTCCAGCTGCCCGGCAAAACCACACTTCACCTGCCTGAAGACACTAAAGTGGAGTGGATGGACAGTAGCTATGATGAGGTCCACGTGTATGAGAACGGCTCTGACCAAAATGAAAAACAGCACCAGTTTTACAGAGACCGAACGAAGATGAATGAAGACCTGCTGAAAACTGGAGACCTCAGTCTGACCCTGAAACACCCCACAGATGGAGACAACTTCATCTACACCTGCACCGTCTACAGCAGGGAGGGAAACATCCTGCTGAAGAAACAAGTGGAGCTGAAAGTCAGAGGTCAGTGCTGTAAATACAGGTCAGAGGTCACAGGTCATGCAGGAGTTTGTTCTCTAAAAGCTTTTAGTTTGAATCTATTTTCAGTTCATTCAAATAAAATAAATTCTTTGATGTTTTGATCTAAAAGCCAAAAATATCGGGCGGAGCAACTGTGTGTTTAAATGAACAGACTAAGAAGACTATTACAAATCATCCTAAGTTTGGGGTTGGTGACTTGTACAGAATGAGAGGCACCCTGAACCAAAACGGCTACCACTGCATTCAGCAACACCACCCAGAACCCTCTGCTAGTTGGTCAGGGACTCATCCTACAGCAAGATAATGACCCAAAAGTGCAAGCTATGCCAGAACTACCTCAGATAAAAAGAACAAGGTGATAAGCTTGAAAACATGGAGCGTCCATCAAGTATCCAGACTTAAACCTCATCAAGCTGGTTTGGGATGAATTGGACAGAGGAGTGAAAGCAAAGCAGCCTACAAGTGCAACATTTATGGGAACTTCTGCAACAGATATAGAAAGAACTTTCTGAAGAATATTTGATTTCTATTGTAGAAAGAACACCCCAGGTGTGTTCAGCTGTTATATCTGCCAGAGGTGGTTACTTTGAGTCAATAGTTTAGAATACATTATGATGTATATATTTATTCCATGATTTATTTATTTATTTTTTTTAAGTCCAATTGCTTGTACTATGCTTTCACCTCAGAGTGCAATGAGAGATTAAACTGCATAATTTTCAATAAAAAATTGGAAAAATTGGGGTGTTCTAAAACGTTTGACTGGTAGTGTATATCAACCGATGAATTGACAACTTTTTTTTTTACATTTTTACATTCAGCTCTCTGTATAGCACAACAGACCGGTACAGCATCCAAATTCAATTTCAGTGATAACATAATGAGTGAAAAAGGAAAAACTCAATGCATCATGGGAATCCCCCGACAGCCTACGTCTATTGCAGCATAACTAAGGGAGGATTCAGGGTCACCTGGTCCAGCCCTAACTATATGCTTTAGCAAAAAGGAAAGTTTT